AATCACAGGTGTCCCACTTTACAACGGCCTTTTGAAACTATCCAACAACATTCCTGCGGGCTCAGTCACCCCATCTCATTTCAGAGTTCAGCCCTGAAAGGCTTGAGAGACTTCCTTTGAGGATGTCCATGTTTGTTCTAGATGAACCCCAGCACCTATTTCTGTCAAAATTTGCTTTCCAAAGACCCTGACGTAACACCACGGGTTACGACGAGTTACTCTATACCTAAGCTCAGAGAACTCTTTGAACCTTCCACAGTGATATTCCTTGATACACATATCCAACCTTCATGTTCCGTGACAAAAAAAAAAAAAAATGGAACCCAAAGAGTCGTGACTTGTGTTAAGGGTTGTGACAGAGGCAGAGCTGGGCGGACAAGAGCGTTATTTCCTCGGTCCTTTTCCTAGCGCTCGTTTCCCATCCTCTCTTCCCAAGTCATTCTCTGCACCCCCTCTAGCCTACCGTCTCGGAGATCAAGACATCCAAGCCCATGCTCAGACAGACACAACAGCGCGGGCAGAGAGACGCCCGCGGGAGGCCGTCGGTGTCTACATGGGGTTAAGAGAGACCCCGGCCCGGAGGACCGGAGGGCCGAAGCCCGCAGTCATGCACGCTCCCCGGAGCTGGGGGCCGCCTGTGTGCAGGTGTCCCCTTGTGGCTCTTCAGATCTGAACCGCGTCCCGCCCCGTCCGCGGTTCGCCCTGCAGCCGCTGTGTGCACGCCCAGGGGGCCGGCCTCGCCCCGGCCCGCGCCCCGCGCCCAGCCAGCAGCCCCCAGCCCGGCGACACGCTCGGACCCCCCCTACCGCGACTAGGTGAGCCCCCAACTCCCCGTCGCTCCCCTTTCTGCCACCTCCGGCTCCGTACCCACCGGTGGGCTGGCAGGGATGATGCCGAGGCCCGCGGGGACGCGAAGCTGGCATCCGCAGCCTCCACGGCCGGCCCAACCTCCCGCCCCCCAGCAACCAGGCGCGCGTTGCTAGGGCGGGAGTCCCCGCAAAAAGGCTCCGGGCGTCTCCCAAGGACTCAGAACTTAGGTTCCGGACCGCTTCCCGGAAGTCTCCCAAGGACCGGGAACCGAGAGCACCTGGCGCCCCGTTCTTACTGTAAAAGTGGCAGTGCGCAGGATCGTGCCCCCGGCTAATTTACGTAACCCGAGCAAAGCAGGGCCTCTGGAAGAGCCACTGACAAGGCGCCTAACAAGCCCCAACTTTGAACTCATCACTTACCCTGCAGAAGGTGTTGCCTTATTTGCCCCAGATCTTTCTCTTGGACACTTCCTCAGCACCCCCACTCTCCTATTTTTTCTTTTTTTCAACAAACTGTGACAGCCTGGCGTCGTGGCAAGAAATTGTGCGTATCTTTTGAGCTCATCCAAGTGGGAAGATAAACTAACAGTAACTATAAGTTTGGGCAACTCCAGTTGCATCGCTTCCAGACTAGGGTCTACTCCTCTCGACTCTGATGCACTCAGCATGAGGCTTGTTGGGGGTCTGATCATTTAATAGGGGCTTATTGAAAAAAACGTTGTTGTTGTTGTTTTTCAATAGCTAAGGCAGGTAGCTCGCACCTGTACTCGTAACTACTCAGAAGGCTGAGATCTGAGAATCTCAGTTCGAAGCCAGCCCAAGCAGGAAAAGTCCAAGAAATTCTTGTCTCCAATTAACCAGAAAAAAAAGCTGGAAATGGCGCTGTGGCTCAAGTGGTAGAGGGCAAAAAAAAAAAACTAAGGCACAGTGACCAGGCCCTGAGTTCAAGCCCCATGTTGGCACATACATAAAAAGGAAATTGAATGAGTAAATGAATAGGTTTCTAATCAACATTTCTTTCACACTATGATAGAGGGCCCCCCTTCAATGGGTAGATCTCCCAGTAGAAGGGATTTGTAAAATCTCTGACAGTTGGGTGACTATGGGCAGTGGGTTTGACCAGAGAAGTTTTGTCTTCATAAAATATCAATTCTGGCCACTGGGTCTATCTTCCAACCCAGGGAGGGAATCTCCTTTGAAGCAACTCTGGTTGGAGCCTTTCTAGCCCCTGATGCTCCCTCCTTGGTGATGCATTCATTACATTCTAAGTTAATGGACTGTTACTGGGAGACTCCCCACCCCCACACCCCTGGCAGGTACTAGGCTATACCCTCATGCCACTTAAGACACTGATCTTATTTCAGATCGAAGACTCTTCCTACAAGTTTTGTCCCTCTTCTTATTGCTTTGTGCTAGGATTTATGCTGTGTGCTAGGTCAACTGGGCTTGGCTCAGGTGCAGCTACAAGTTGAGTTGCTAGATTCCCGCCCTGAATATGCTGCTGGCTAGGGGGTGAAGCCCTTTTGGGAGGTACTTAAGGATTACAACATCTGATATTTATTCCCAACCTGATTGTGCAGACCTCTGGGAGAGGTCTCTGTCACACCTGTATATCCACTTTCACCCTGCCCACCCGCCTTAAAGACTCATCATCCTTCTCATGACTCACAGGAGAAACATCATTCCCCCACCCCCAAACCTGTTCCTCCTCTTTTTTTCTCTAGCTGCTGGCTGCTATCATCTATCAATCATCCACACTAAGGATCTAGGAGTTATTTTTAACATCTCTCTTTTAAAAATAAAAATCTACCCATTACTCCCAAGTCATCATCTGGGTTTCAAGCCAACATCATCTAAGAGAGGTGAAAAATGACCACCAATCTTTGCAGCATCTGCCCATCAGTACTGCCTTGTAAACTTGATTTTGCCCAAGTCTGTTTGAAAGGCATGGTCCATCTAACAGCTAGCACCAAATGATACGGTTTTATATTATCCACCCCTTGTTGTAACTAAGAATAACTACTGACAGAACAGCCCAGCTAAACCCAGCCCAATTTGGTAAAACCCCAGAATGAAGAGCAAATACAGAGTTTTCATTTTATGCCACTAAACTATGGATAGTGTGTTATGTTGAATAGATAACTGATGCCCAGGGTGAAGTCTAAATATATTTATCAGGTCTATAAGACTTGTTCTATTTCTCTTTAGCTTCATTTTCTCATCTTCCTTTTTTTTTTCTTCTGGTACTGAGGCTTAATCCCAGGGTCTCGATGCTGTTTCTTAGCTTTTTCCCTCAAGGTTGGCACTTTATTGCTCAAGCCACACCTTCACTTCTGGCGCTTTTTTTTTTCAGGTTAACTGGAGATAAGTTTCATGAATTTTCCTGCCCAGGCTGGCTTCAACCCTCAGATCTCAGCTTCCTGAATAGCTAGGATTACGGGGGTCAGCTAAAAATATTTTAAAAAATACTTTCTAGAATGCTCATGAAAAACAAACAGCTGGGGATGTAGCTCAGTGGAAAATGCTTGCCTTCATGTGCTAGCCCCTGGATTTAATCCCCAACACTAAAAAAAAAAAAAGACCCAAATCACATATCATCAAAAAGTAAATGAAAATGCAGGATTGAGCCGGTGGGCACACATTTATAAGACTAAATACTTCTACTTGTATCATACAGTGGGGGTGAATAAATGCTTTGTCATACTTGATTTGAAAATATACCTGTTCCAGGGCTGGGGATATGGCTTAGTGGTAGAGTGTTTGCCTAACATGCATGAACACCACTCCTCAGTACTACATAAACAGAAAAAGCTGGAAGTGGCACTGTGGCTCAAGTGGTAGAGTGCTAGCCTTGAGCAAAAGCAGCTCAGGGACAGTGCCCAGGCCCTCAGTAAGAGCCCCAGGACTTTATATATATATATATATATATATATATATATATATATATATATATATATATATAATATATATATATATATGTATGTATATATATATATGTCCCATGTGAATATGTTTGTGTGTGTGTGTGTATGTACATTTGTTCCAGATTTTCATACCACGTAAGCTGTGAGAGTCATTGTTGAAGGGCAGCACAAGTTATAACATAAAAAGAAATCTTGTAGGCCAGGTATCGTGGCTCCTGCCAGTAATCATAGCTACTTAGGAGGCTGAGACTTGGAGGATCAAAGTTAGAGGGCAGCCCAAATGGAATTTGTAACATTTCAATCAGCAGTTAGGTATAGAGGACACATGCCTGTCATTTCCAGCTATCAGGGAGGCTGAGATTGGGAGGAAGATAGTTCTGGGCCAACATGAACCAAAAAAGTTTCTGAGATTCCATCTCTATGGAAGAAGCTGGATGTAGTGGTGTTTACCTATCACTCCACCATGTTTACCTATCATTCCAGCTATCTATCAGCTATGTTGGAAAGGGTGAAATAGGAAGATCGTGGTTCAGGTGTGAGTCCAGGTAAAAATCAAGACTGATCTCAAATAATAATCGGTGCAAAGGAAGGCTGGAGATGAGGGTTCCGTGGTAGAATGCCTGCTTCACAAGCGTGGAAGGAAGGAGAAAGAAAAGAATTTTGCACTGGATGAGCAACACTAACACCAACTCCAGCTACTTGGGAAGCTCAGACAATAGGATCACAATTTTGAATCCTGTCTGGGCTGCACAGAAAGACATTATTTCTAGATAAAATATTGTCAAAAGTGGCTGGAGATGTAGCTCAGTGGTAGAGTACTTGCCAGAATTCTGAGGCCCTATGATCAATCCCCTGCACTGAAGAAAGAAAAGAAAGGGGGTAGGGGAGAATGAGGCAGAAGAAGGGAATGAGGAAAGGAGGGAGAGAGGGAGATGGATTTTTGAAATAAAAGGTTCACTGAGCAGTTACAGATGCCACAATTACCAGCAGCTGAACTAGGTAACAGTTGGACCAGAGCTAAGAGCATTTTTTTAAAATGAGGATGGTGAGATGTAATATTTTCAATAAAAAAGACAATAGCAAATCTTTAAAAATGCATATATATTACCATAAATTTACCCTAGGCCATAAAACACATGGATGAAAAGGGATGAAATGACTGTTTGCAGAATAAAAAGGTAGTATTTTATGAGTTAAATCTTATGATAATGACTATGATCCTTTTTTTTTTGTTTTAGCCAGTATACAAAGTATGCAGAGCCCCTACACTTTCATGTCTAAATTGAGTTTTGCTTGCAGGCATGCGTGGCATTCCTCCAGCTATTTTATGAACCTCAAGCTTATTAGATTTCATTGTTGACAATGCAGCATATTTTTCACATTGAAAATTTAGAGGAAGAAGGTAGAAGTTGTTTACATTGAATCTACATTGGCTGTCCATAAAAGATGTGGAACATATTCAGAACTACAAAAATCTTTTGTTCTTGGCCTATAGTTTGTTAACTGATCAACAAGTCCCATTTAGCGCCCCCTCCATTCTCACACCCTTGTGAGTAAAATTAGGACATCTTGGAAACTTTCTCAGCTGGGTAAAGGTGGTTCACACCTGTAATCCTAGCTACTCAAAAAACAGATCTGCCAGGCGCCACTAGCTCAGGCCTGTAATCCTAGCTACTCAGGAGGCGGTGATCTGAGGATCACGGTTCAAAGCCAGCCAGAGCAAGAAAGTCTGTGAGACTCTTATCTTCAATAAACCACTAGAAAAGCAGAAGTGGCGCTGTAGCTCAAGCGGTAGAGTGCTCTCTTTGAGCTGAAGAGTGCAGGGACAGCACCCAAGCCCAGAATTCAAGGCCCATGATTGACAAAAAAAATAAAAATAAATAAATAAATAAAAACCAGATCTGAGAATAGTGGTTCGAAGCCAGTCAAGGCAAGAAAGTTCATGATACTCATCTTCAATTAACCATCAAAAAACTGAAAGGGGCCGGGTGCTGATGGCTCACACCTGTAATCCTAGCTACTCAGGAGGCTGAGATCTGAGGATTGAGGTTCAAAGCCAGCCTGGGCAGGAGAGACCATGAGACTCCTATCTCCAATAAACCACCAGAAAACTGGAAGTGGCGCTGTAGCTTAAGTGGTAGAGCGCTCGCCTTGAGCTGAAGAGCTGAGGGACAGCGCCCAGGCCCAGAGTTCAAGCCCCACGACCGACCAAAAAAAAACAAAAACAAAAAAACTGGAAGGGGTGCTTGAGTGAAAAAGTTAAGAAACAGTGCCAGGCTCTGAGTTCAAGCTCCACTACTGACACCAAAAAGAGAGAAAGAGAGACAGACAGACAGAGAGGGGAATTTTCTCTTATCATACATTTGAATCTTTTTATAGCTCTTATCACAAGTGATGTTATATGTTATATTACATATCCATCTCTGTCATTTGTCCCTGGTAGTAACTTTGTTCTACTTGACGGTTGGATCTCCGTGTCTTAAGGCCAGACACATAGGTGGGTGCCCAATAAATTTGTTGAATGACTGGAACATAACAAAGAGGTCTATTCTTCTCCATCTCCAGCTCAGGCTGTCCTGCTTATACCAGCCTTGAAGTTCCTATACAGCCCTCTCCACACCCTCCAAGGCTCCAGAAGTCTGGCGGAACTCAATGCGTCTTTGAAGCTTTTTTGACCATGACCTCCAGTAAGAAACATATCAGGGGCCAGGAACAGGTGATTCATGCCTGTAATCCTTGCTATTCTATGGTAGTATTGTATGGTAGATCCAATTCTGAGAACAGAGAAGCCACCACTTAAAAGGCTGAATTTGGAGTCTTTATTGGAGTGCTAGCAGGTGGAGGGGGGACTCTTGTCACAAAGCCCTACCACCCTGAATACAACTAACACATGGCTTATACACCCAAAAACCATACAAGGTGCGTGGGATTAATCTTAATAAAGTAGAAAGCAAATCAGATGTAAACACAATCAAAGTAAATAAAAACAAGTGAACATTCAAAATCTAACAAAAGTGTTAAATATAAACCAAAACAAATCAAATGTGGTCACGATCAAGGGAAATCAAGAACCAATCATCTAAGGAGGGTAAGACTTTTCTGGAACCCACCAACTTAAAACACATCTGCAAATCAATGAATGTCCTCTACCATCAAGGCCCAATGCCAAGACCTAGTCTCCTTACTTCATCCGGAGGCTGAGACCAGAGGATTGTGGTTCAAAGCCAGCCCCAACAGGAAAGTCTGCGAGTCTCTTATCTCCACTAAACTACCAAAAGAAAAAAAAAAGCCAGAAGTGGAGGAGCTGTGGCTCAAGTGGTAGAGCACTAGCCTTGAGTACAAAAACTCAGGGATAGCTCCCAGGCCCAGAGTTCAAGCCTTAGGACCAGCCAAAAAACAAAACAAAACCCCAAAACACAAAACATATTCAATCCATTTTAGTCCTCAGTGCCTATTATATCCATGCATGTATACAATATATACACACTCAGACATATATTCAAAAGACCAAATTAGAATACAGTTAGGTAGTCTAGTTGGCTTTTAGATTCTAGAATTGGGCAGTATCTTATTCTGTGAAATAGGTGGCTGAGCAGAGGAGGGCAGAAAAGGACTGAAATAAGCAGAAATCAGGTCGTCTCAAATTCCTTTCCTCTGGCACAAAGCAGAGAAGCTTTCCTGATTTGAATCTGACCTGTTTGGTAATAATCGCTCTCTCTCTTCAATTTCCTATTTCAGACAATAATATGTCTCCTCTCCTCCCCTCATTCTGAAAGATAGAATAAGACAAATTTGTGATAACTTAAATTTTGTCATGCAGAAATTTAGCATGACCATCTATGACTCCATTTGGTCTGGTCTAGTCTGAGTTCTAGTGCAGGGGCTTAGTCCAGAATAGCACTGCCCATAAATATTACATATATATATATGTATATATATGCATACATATATACCATAATCACATTCCCTCCCTTCTTCCCTCCCTCTCTCCCTCTCTGCCTCCCCCCTCCCCTCCTCCTCCTCCTCCTTCTTCCTCTTCCGTTCTTCCCTCCCTCTCCCTCTCCCCCTCCCTCTCTCCTCCCTCCTTCCCCCCCTCGTTTCCTTACTTGATATCCTTACTTTATTAATAAGGGACTGTTACTGCTTAGGGCATTATTTAGTTCAGAAAGCTCATTTACATCCTAGTCACGAAGTGGCTGCTAGAAATGCAGATTCATCACTCCACCTTAGACCTAGTGAATGACAGTCTTACTAAGAAATCTTACACACACACACACACACACACACACACACACACACACACACACACACACACACACACCTCTTAAGCCCAATCAAGTTTGGTAGTCACAGTCTCTAGGGGTTAATAAGTGCCCTTGGCCATGTGGGCACAGCATCCTGCAGTGCTGGCTACACTTTTCAGACACAGACCCGTTGTCTGGTACCAGTTCTGCATCCTATGAGCCATAGAACAGACACAGCCACCTTCCTAAACAAAATTCACTTCCATCTTCGCTCTTTATATTGACTAGTCCCTGTCCTGGAAGCATGACTGGTGATCTTGCTGCAGCTTTCTGGACCTTTCTGGATGTTGCTGGACCTTTCTGGACCTGAGAGCCACTAACTGCTTCCTGGGCCAGCCCAATGGCCCAGTTTTCCCCAAGTGCCACATGGCATATCTTTCTCTCCCTGCCCCCTTCATCTCCAAAATACCCACAGCAATTCTCACCAGTCTTTAATTACCATGGCCCACTTCTACCCTCATGCCAGGGGAGTGTGGACACTGTGATGAGGTCATGACCCTACTCCCATCCTGGGACGCACTGGTGATCTCTCTGGAGGGCAGGACCACTGCACCTGATCCTCCAAAGAATGTTCCACAGCTTGCATTCTGAAACTTTTAACACATTTATTTACAGATCCTCATAAGTATAACCAAACAGGTATTATGCCACAGTATACAATGAACACCCAGGCTAAGTACTTCACAGACAACAAGATCACAGGTAATTCTGGAAGCAGCCCTCTTCACTGTCCCTGATTAGGGCATTAGCTAGCTACTATTATTATCGCCGTTATAGACATGAGGCAAGAGGCAGGTCAGCAGGACAAGTAACTTGACCAAGGTCCCATAGCTGCATGTGGTATAGCTGGAATGGAGCCAGTGACCTATATTCACTCTCTGTTCTCTCTCTAGTCACATGGTGTAATGTTTGTATTTTGAGGGTGACTGTGTCCATACTGGAAGATAACTCCACTAAAGTCTCAGTGGTTCCAGGGCTGTTAGCACTCTTACCCCTTGGGGATTGAAGCCTAGAGTTTTATCTACCTCTGTGTAGTGGTGGCTTAGAGGGCTCTCGGGGTAGAAGTGTTTAAGCACCTACCAGTCTCAGGATGTAGGGTTCCTCTTGTAGATTTTGCTTCTACCTGCATCTAATTGTGATGAACTTAAAACTCTCCACCACCAGGAACTGGGCACTTCTACCTTTGTCCAGGCTGTCTGATCAGCTCTCTGCCAAGACCTCCTAAGGCTAAGTATGGGCTTGGGGAGCAGTGTCTCCCTCTTATGCTCAGACTGGACAGGATTCCTGCCAGGGAGCCCTTTCAGACTCAGACTGGTATTTCAGATGTGGGGATGGGGATGGGATGGGGGGAGCTGAAATAACTCAGATACATACTGGAAGCTGATCATAAAGGAGTGGGTGATCTGTTTATATGCATATTCTTCAAAATAAACATATATTAATTTAAAACATTTGGAAGCAAATACCATATTTGGTGAAAAATCAACCTTTTTGCTGGGCTCAATATGTAATTTAAAAATAACTCATCATATTGAGTGTCCATGGTGCACACCTGTAATCCTAGTTAATCAGGAGGCTGATATTTGAGGATCTTGGTTCAAAGCCAGCTCCTGCAGGAAAATCCATGAGACTCTAATCTCTAATTAATTATTAAAAATCTGGAAATGGCCCTATGGGTCAAAGTGATATAGCACCAGCCTTGAGCACAAAAGCTCAGGGAAAGTGCCCAGGCCATGATTTCAAGCCCCAGGACTGGCAGGAGAGAAAGAAAGGGAGAGGGGGAGAAAGAGAGAGAGAGAGTGCTCCTCATCATAGTAACCTTAAGTCTAACTGCCTGAGTTTCTGTCTCATTGCTACCCACCACTAGCTGCAATCCTGTTATAAAAATAGGAATCATAATAGTATTCCCCACCTACTACCAGATGCTTACTTAACCAGTGCACCATGGTATGCCAGATGAGGCTTTGTGATTTTTATTCCTCCTCCACATTTTATAGCCAAGGACACCAATCCTCTAAGAGAGATCTTCTAAGAGCTGAACAGCCTAACACTAGACCCTCTTTTTGAGCCCCTGGTCTGAAGCTTCCTCTCAAAAGGGCTGCACTTGTACCAGTGGCTCATGCCTATAATCCTAGCTACTCAGGAGACTGAGATCTGAGGATCATGGTTCAAAGTTAGTCAGGGCAGAAAAGTCTGTGAGACTCTTATTTCCAATTAACCAGCAAAGAGCCAGAGGTGGAGGTATAGATCAAGTTGGTAGAGAGTCAACCATAAGCAAAAGAAGCTAAGTAAGAGTGCCCCAGCCCTGAGTTCAAACCTCAATATGTGCATGAAAACAAACCTTAGCAAAAACTTGACAATTAAAAATGCATAATAAAGTTTCCTATGGCCGCGTCCGTATTTGGTATCCTATGTTCATTTAAAATCGCACGGAACGCTAATTGAGCCGAGAAGTTGGAGGGACGTGGGTGAGACGCAGTGGAAAGCATGGCTAGTGTGGAGGAGGCGGGGCCCGGCCCGGGGGCGGGTCAGAAAAGACCACGCCCATCCGCACCTGCGACAGGTGGAGCGCCCTGCGAGCGGCTCGCAGCGCTCGGCCATGGCCGCGGAGAGCGTGGGGCTTGAACCTGAGCCGGGGTCCGAGCCGGATCCGCTGTGCTCCGAGCACGGCCGGCCTCTGAGCTGGTTCTGCGGCTCCGACCGGCGGCCCGTGTGCGACGCCTGCACGGGGCCGGGCGGCCGCTGCCGGGGACACCGCCTCTGCCGGACGGAGGAGCGCGCGGAGGAGCTGCGGGTGAGCCTGGGTGACCCGGGGATCGGGGAGGGGGGAGGAGTGAGCGGGTGGAGGGGGGGGATGAGCGGGGGGGGGATGATGGGCTGGGGGGGGGGGTGGCCCGGGCCGAGGGGACGCGCCAGGCCCGACCCGCAGTGACCGGGAAACCTGGGTCCGGCTCCTCTGTTGAACCAGACGGTTAAAGGTGTGGCCAGTGGGAGTCTGATCGACCCGAGTTCGACTCCCATGCCCTCAGGCCCTCGAATCGTGTACATCTAGAGCCTCCCTGACTGAATGTGTAGTTTGGTGGGCAGCCTTACCAGCACATTTATTACAGCCGATCTAGGAAAAGATAAGTCCCTTGCCTTAGAAGCCACTACCCTTACTTGCCCTGGGATTTCCTGGTGGGGTGATCTAGTTCTCTTCTTGGATTGGCCTTGATTGTACTTGAAGCTGGTTTCACCTGGGTAAACGCAGCCGGCTGGCAGAAGGTGAGGACGTTCTGTCTCAACCTAAGCTTTCAGCTCACTTCCACTTTCAGCTTGGCTCCAGGCAATTCACCCTCCCCTCCTTGGAGCCTCTGAGACTGGACAACCTGGTCACCCTGGTGCTCCTCTCCCCTTCCACCCAAGCTGCGGCCTCTGGGGGGTTCCTAGCAATTTGATTAAATAGCATAATATTTCCAGCCCTACGGTAGACTTCAGCCTGACTGTGCATCGGTTGCAGGGAACTTCACCTCCTTAGACAGAACTGGGGGGGGGGGAGCCACAAGGTGCGCGATCCAGGAGATGACACACAGGAGGCTCCTGGTTGGTGATGCTAAAACTAATCTTGGATAAGGTGATACAATCAGCTGGCCTAATGGTTAGGACTTTGCAAATTCCAAACACTTAAATACCTGTCATCTTATCCCAAGCAGACCAAGCCATTGAGGAGTTTTTTTAAAAAAACAAGATGAGGAATCTGAGGCCCAGAGCAAGGCCGGAATTCCTCCTCCCAGGTTGCTAGTATGCAGGGGCTGAAGGGTTGGAGGGTGGGGGGGATTCATTGGTTAGGCCAGAGGAAACCACTCCTTTGCTTCAGTGGTTATGATGGAGGAAGTGACACTAATAGAAACCCTTACAAAAAGTGACCGTCTGGGCCTGAGGGTGGAGCCTGGCCAGGTGAAGCCTGGCCACAATGGTAGGCCTGGTGCTTGTTTTGGAGTGTACTCTTGCCCCTGGTTCCTTCTCTGGACCACATCTGCTTTAACCTAAAGGGAGGTGAGTTTTGCTCTTGCTGTTCTTGTGATTTAGAATAGATGGTTTTTCTTTTCTTTTTTGACATGCTAAGCAAGTACTCTACCACTGAGGTGCACCCCTAACCCTAGAATAGGTAAAGTCTTTCATACCATCTTTCCCTTATCCCTGTTGTCAGCAACGAAATTGGACCCCACGGCAAGATTGTTATGAACTCGGGGAAAACAGTGCCAGTTCAGTTGATCTCATATATTGTGGAGAAATGATTTCTACCCTGTAGCTTTTCAGAAGCTAGGCTCAAGTGAGGGAATCTGCCTAGGTGCCTATCAGTGGATAATTGGATAAATGTGGTATATGTACACAATGGAGTATTAGTCAACCTTAAAGAAGAGCAAAATTATGTCATCTGCAGGAAAATGGATGAAACTGAGATCATGTTAAGTGAAGTAAGCCAGACTCAGATAAATATTGCATAGTTTTTCTCATATGTATACTATAGAAACAAACAAACAATGACATGAAATTAGGAAGGAAGCTGAACTCGTAGCTCATGCCTGTAATCCTAGCTTCTCAGAAGGCTGAGATCTGAGGATCGAGGTTTGAAGCCAGCTGTGCCAGACAAATCCTCAAGACTCTATCTCCAGTTAACAAGCCAGACCAGAGGCATGGCTCAAGTGATAGAGCTCCAGCTAGAAGCAAAAAGGTGAGCAAGAGTCTAAAGCCCTGAGTTTAAGCCCCAGACTAGCAGAAAAAGAAAATAGAATAGAGATTATTAGAGAGAGGAAAGAGATCTAGGAAGGGATAAGGAAGAATAAGGGACGATATTGGAAAGTCAGACACAATTAAAGTACGTTATATGCATGTATAAAAAAATCACAATGGTTGGGCACGGTGACTTACACCTATAATCCTAGCAACTTAGAAGGCCGAGCTCTGAGGCTCATGGTTCAAAGTCAGCCCGGGCAGGAAAGTGTGTGAGACAAAGTACCACAAAAATGTGAGAAATGAAGTAGAGAAGCTGGGACCTAGCCGTATTTCCTGGGGTGAGCCACTTATCCATGAGCTACACTCTCTTATCTAGAACTCTCCCTGCCCCCATGGCTGATGTTAGTGGCTCTGGGAGCTGTGGACTGCTGACCCTCTTATGGTCAACTCAGTGGATGTTTGTTCATTCATTCAACAAATACTTATTTAGGACCCTTTATGTTCAGGAACTCCCTTTTAAGTACTAGAATATAGAGAACAGGTGAAGTTATGATGCTTGTGCTTCAATACAGAGGAGACAATACATACACACCTACCAGATATATATATATATATATATATATATATATATATAGTGTGTGTGTGTGTATATATATATATATATATTACTAGGAAGAAAACTAAAGCAGAGTAAAGGCAGGAATGTGTTGGTGGGAGGCCTCTCTAAAGAGGCAACATCTACCCGGGCGCCGGTGGCTTATGCCTGTAATCCTAGCTACTCAGGAGGCTGAGATCTAAGGATCACAGTTCAAAGCCAGCCTGGGCAGGAAAGTCCATGAAACTCTTATCTCCGATAAGCCACCAGAAAACTGTTAAGTGGCGCTGTAGCTCAAGTGGTAGAGTGCTCGCTTTGAGCTGAAGAGCTGAGGGATAGCACTCAGGCCCAGAGTTCAAGCCCCACGACCAACAAAAAAAAAGAGGCAACATCTAGATGGAATGAAGGAGCAAGACACACAGGGAGAGTAGAAGGAAAGGCAAAGCAGGTACAAAGGCCAGGATAAGTTCAATGTCTTTAAGGAACAGAAAGGAGGTCAGTGTGGAGTGTAGTAGGAGGTGACACTAAAGACATGGCTGAGTCATGTCAGCTAGGGCCTGTTTGCTTAGGTAAGATGCTTGATCTCACCGTGAGTGAATCAGAAAGGCGTTTGAAGGCTTGGAGCAGCACACAGCCTGCTCTGATTTCCTTAAGAAAAAGAAAGTGTCTGTGGTTAAAAGGAGGTGGGTGGTGAGAATGAAAGCCCAATTTGGAGGAGTTTCTAACAGGATTTCTTTAAGAGGCAATGGCCAGTTGAACAGAACAACAGAAGGAGAAGTGCCAGGAAAGAGACAGACACTTTGGACATGGGGCTGATAGGGCTCACTAGCCATTTAAATATGGAGTTAGAGAAAATTCTGGATTTTTTTTGTCTGGGTGACAAGTTGGTGGCTGTGAGAATACCTTCAGCAAGAGCACTTTAGAAGCCATGTTCTGTACAGGACACGAGCAAGTATAGAGGGGCAGGGGCCCTGCATAAGGAGGGTTTAGAGCATATGCAGGAAGTGATCATAATGACAGGTCATGGGCCTTGGGATAAAGAAGAAAATGAGGCTGCAGGAGGGGATGAGGGACAGTGAAAGGGAGATGAGTGCATTCGTGGCCTCACCTGAGCTGTTAAAATGCAGCATTGGTGAGCTAAAAGGATAAGATAATTGTGGACAAGATGTGTGATTTTTGATATGAAGGACTGGAAAGTGGTATTTTGTGTGTATGTACACACCAGTTCTGGGGCTTGAACTCAGACCCTAGCACTTGTCCCTTAGCTTTTTACTCAAGGATGGCTCTCTACCACTTGAGCCACAGCTCTACTTCTGGAGATAAGAGTCTCAGGGAGGGATGGTAGGGGAAAAACAAAGGAGTGGGTAACAATGCTCAATAGGAAATGTACTTAATTACCTTACTCATGTAACTGTAACCCCTCTGTACATTATCTTTACAACAAAAAAATATATTAAGCCGGGCGCAAAGTCCGTGAGACTCTTATCTCCCATAAACCACTAGAAAACCGGAAATGGTGCTGTGGCTCAAGCGGTAGAGTGCTCGGCTTGAACTGAAGAGCTCAGGGACAGCACCCAAGCCCACGGTTCAAGCCCAAGCCCAACAAAAAAACAAAAAAAAAATTAAAAAAATAGAGTCTCAGGGACTTTCCTATTCAGAGTGGCTTTGAGCTGCAGTCCTCAGACCTCAGCCTCCTTAATAGCCTAGTTGGTGTTTTTGTTTTTTAATAACAATGAGGTCTGGGATATGACCAAGGGAGTGAGGTAGCTGAGGGGAGGTGCAAAGGGGGGAAAATTACCGGAATAACAGAACAGCTTGAATGTGTGGATGGAGACACCATGAGCATTGTTTATGTTACAGAACAAGATTGTGGACCAATGTGAGAGACTGCAGTTACAGAGTGCCGGCATCAGCAAGTATATGGCTGAGGTCCTGCCAGGGAAGAGCCAGAGAGCAGTGGTAATTCTTCCCTTTCCTGTCTGTGCTGTGTTCTCTCCCAGGTTAGAGCCCTGGCCCAGGGACTTGGACAATCTGGGGATCCTTTCCCAACTCATAGACTCACTCAGATTTCTCTAAAGGTGACTAGAATCAGAAACAGGAAAACTGCAAGAAATTGCTGGAAGCATAGCTCAGGAATACAGTGCTTGCCTTACAAGTGCAAGGCCAGTTCAAGGACAACTGTTCTACATTTATTTCTGTGTCAGTTTGCTCAGTGATCTCTTTCTCACTATCATCATCATCATCATCATCATCATCATCATCATCATCATCATCATCATATTTTACTTTATTGTCTTCTTTCACTGCCTATAACCTCAGTACAATGTTGACTACAATAGCTGATCGTGACTTTAAGGGAAAAACTTCAAAACATTTTCCTTTATTCAATTTTTGTTGTTGTTGTTATGCTGGTACCAGCGCTTGAATTCGGGGCCTGGTTCCTTAGTTTGTTTTTTTTTTTTTTTTTTGCTCAAGGCTGGCATTCTACCACTTGAGCCACACCTCTACTTCAGGCTTTTTGGTGGTTAATTGGAGGTAAGAGTCACAGGGACTTTCCTGCCCAGGCTGGCTTCAAACTGTGGTTTTTAGACTTCAGCTGCCTGTGTAGCTAGGATTACAGGAGTGGTCCACTGGCATTCAGCTCCCATTTATTTATTTAACAAATTCTTACTGAGCATCTAATGTGTGCCAGGCCCTGAACATGTGCTTTGCAGTGAACAAAACATGAAAATTCTGCTTTTCTTGAGGTCTATATTCTTGTCACGGGGGAGAGACAATAAAAAAAAATAACATGATACGATAGACTACAGGCATAGCTTAAGTGAGAGTACTTGCATAGCAAGTACAAGGCCCTGAGTTCAAACCCTAGTAACCCCAAATAAAATAGAAAATAAAAATATGTGCTTTGTAAGAAGGTGGTGGTGTGGAGAAGTATAAAACAGAAGATGGAATAACACGTATTGAGGACAGAGCTTGCAACTAACTACACTGCACTGCACAGAGCAGGTCTTTGGGGAAAGGGCCTCAGGGACAGGGATGACTACCCTGTGCTCTGACAGAAAGGAGGAAGCGCTACCTGGATAGTGAGAGTACAGGTGTAGTACAGGTGTGGAGGCATTGTACATCAGATGCCACTGGGGAGGACTGGTTACCAATATGGAATAATAGTGAGCTGAGAGGAAAATGGTTGTATCTTCCAGACCAGGATTCTTGTTTCAGCTTTGCCACTGAATTACTCGCTTTCCCTCCCTCCCTCCCTCCCTCCCTCCCTCCCTCCCCCCCTCCCCCTCTCTATCTTTCTCTCTCCCTCTCTGCTCCCTCCCCCTCTGTGTGTGTGTGTGTGTGTGTGTGTGTGTGTGTGTATGTGTGTGTTTGAACCCAGGGTCCCACAGTTGTTTAAGCAGGCAGTACTGCCACTTGAGCCACGCCTCCAGCCCTTTTTTGCTTTTGTTTATTCTTCAGATAGAGTCTCACTTTGCCTTATTGGGCCTGGATTGCAATCCTCCTGCTCATGCCTAGTTGGCACAAAAGTACACCACCACATCTGGCTCTCCAAGGTATTTTTTACTATATCAGAAAAAAAGTCCCATTCATTGATTCAGTGAATACTGGGAATACTTACTACGTGCCAGACACTCATTAACCTCATTGACTGAAACTTCATCTCTTCTCTATGGCAGATGAAAATTCCATTAATGACTGAGTACAGGGGCTCACATTTATAATCCTAGCCTCTCAAAAGCCTGAGATCTGAGAACTGAACTTAGAAGCCAGTCCAGGGAGACGAATCCAAGTCTCTTATTTCCAATTAACCAGCAAAAATCCAGTGGAGGTATAGCTCCACTCAAGGCTAGTGCTCTACCACTTGAGTGAAAAAGTAAAAAAAAAAAAAAAGCATGAGGCTCTGAATTCAAGCCACACACACACACACACACACACACACACACACACACACGCACACACACACAGAAAGAGAGAAAGAGAGATTTTATTAATGAACCAGTTGGAATGGAACAGCTTTAGGAAGAATATTTTTGTCCTCCGATATCATGAAATATCAACTGGAAATTACAGTTGTTAGGGTTCCATCTGATAGGGATAACTTTAGGTCCTTCACCATGCCTGATATTTCTTCTCATCATGGTCTCTTGGCCTTGGTATTTGTGCCTGTGAAAATACCAAGGAATTGATGTCTAAGCCCTGCTTAGCAATTCCATTCTGTGGTCATGGCCTCATGAGATATGAGCCAAATGTCTCGATCTCAAATTTGTTTACCCTAAACCACATTTAGGGAGTCTTAAGTCTGGGGTGTCAAAGTAAGTAGCTTAAGTTTTATTGTTCCCATTCTTATGCCATGGCAGACATTACCAATCAATCCCAGCACTCATTCTCAGTGGACTCAAACCCCACTAATCCTGACTCTCATTTTATCCTCTGTTAGAGTAGGGCCAGCGCAGCACGGGAACTGGTTATCCAGCGGTTGAGTCTGGTGCGGAGTCTGTGTGAAAGTGAGGAGCAGCGGTTACTGGAACAGGTGCATGGTGAAGAGGAGCGGACTCACCAGAGCATCCTGACCCAGCGAGTACACTGGGCTGAGGCCCTGCAGAAGCTTGACACCATCCGCACCAGTCTGGTGGGCTTGCTCACCCATCTGGATGACATCCAGCTGATTGTAAGTCTGAAAACCCTAAGGTGGTTTCTTGCTAGGGGTGAATGGCAAAGAGAATTCTGTGTCTGGACAGACTTCCGCTTCTAAAGCTCCTTCCAGGCCCATCTGGGCACTGCCTTTAAAACTCAGAACCCTACTAAGTCAGGTTGGCTAGAACACCCTCATTCTTGATATCACTCTTGTTATCAGGTTCCTCATTTTCCCTCCCTTCCTCATTTCCCTCCCTCGGGGTGATGTCTGATACCCCAGCCTGTCTTCAGCAAGAATCTTGTTAGGTCAGTTTAACTGGAATCCCACTTACCTTTAATGTTCCTTCTGGAATTTTCCATCCACTGACCTAACCTACCTTGGTGATAAATTCCCTCTTGCCCAGGCTATATGCAGAGCTGAACCTAGTTTTTCTCCCTCCTTGTAAGGCCCTGCAGCAGAAGTCCCTATTCTTATCTTCCTTATTGGGCTTTAGCAAATATTGAATGATTTAACATGAGGCAGAAGAATAAAATTACATGAATCTTTTGGCATCCAATGACAATATTCTTTCAACACTGAGGGAATACTGAGTGCCTGTTACATGCTAAGCATTATGCTGTGGGGGGTAGGGATGAGAGTTACGAGATACAATTCTCAGCTGTGCCCAGCCCTTAAACTGACAGAACATGGAAGGATAGGTGCTTTGGTGAAGGACAGCATGCTGTACTTGGAACCTCACAGTCCAGGCAGAGGGTGGTCATGGAAGGCTTCCTGGATGAAGTGGTAAGAAGAGTGCCTGTCTTCAAGGAACTGAGGAGGTGGAGAGTTCAGAATTACTACATACCTAAGCAAAGGCTCCACTATGACAATACGGAGATTCTTCTTATAATCTTACATATAATTTTATGCCAGGCACTGGTGGCTCGTGTCTGTAATCCTAGTTACTCAGGAAGCTGAGATCTGAGGATCACAGTTTGAAGCCAGCTTGGGCAGACAAATCTGAGAGACTCTTATCTCCAATTAACTACTAAAACTTCAGGAGTGGGATGGGAATGGGAGGGGAAAATTAGGAGAGCAAGGGAAGGGGTAAGATTGTTCAAAAACAAGTGTACTCTTTTCTTTGTTTTGTTTTTTCTTCTGTCAGTTGTAGGGCTTGAACTCAGGACCTTGGTACTATCCCTGAGCTTTTTAGCTCAAGGCTAGTACTCTACCACTTTGAGCTACAGTGCTGCCTCTGGTTTTCTGGTGGTTAGTTGAAGATAAGAATCTCATGGGTTGGGTGCCGATTGCTTATGCCTGTAATCCTAACTACTCAGGAGGCTGAGATCTGAGGATCGTTGTTTGAAGCCAGCCTGGACAGGAAATTCTGTGAGACTCAACTGAAAGTAGAGCTGTGGGTCAAAGTGGTAGACCCCTACCTAGCCTGGAGTGAAAGAGCTCAAATATAGCACCCAGGCTCTGAGTTCAGGCCCCACGACCAACAAAAAAATGGACTTTCCTGCTTGGGCTGGCTTCGAACCGCAATCTTCAGATCTCAGCCTCCTGAGTAGCTAGGAGTATAGGTGTGAGCCACCAGGGCCTAGTAAGAAATGTACTCTTGACCTCAACCCCTCTGTAGATCATCTTTATAATAACAATAAAAAAACACCTCCAGGAGTGGAGCTGTGGTTTAAGTGGTAAAACACCACCATTGAGTGGAAAAAGCCAAGTGACAGCGTGAGATTCTGAGTTCAAACCCCAGTACTAGCAACAGAAGGGGTGGGAGCGTAGGGAAATCATGCAATTTTATTCTTTCATGGTTATCCACAAATTAGCATGGTTAATATTGGTCCATAGACAAAGGGTTTTGGAACTATATAGCCAACTGCCATTTTGAGAAGACAGTATAACATCTGTCATGCAGAGGAAAGGGATTGTGGCAAACTGAATGGCCTGCCTGGCTTTTCAAGTAGGGCAGTGTCACAGCTGCCCTAGATCAGGCCTTCAGCCATCAGCTTCCAGAATGTGACACATTTTGTCCTAGACATTGGGACAGTCACAGCAGAAGAAAGTCACAGCTATACAGGAGCAGACAGTCTTCCTGGGGGTTGTGGGATGGCCCCTAAAGTGGAGAGGAGGAACCCCAGGATGTTGGGGACATTCATTGTGACCACCTGCTGGGGTTCTGCTGCCAGCCTGACTTTGTTTTTGCTTTTTCTTGCAGCAGAAAGAGCAGGAGATTTTCGAGAGGTGAGTGTGGCCCTGTGATTTGCTTGGACCATCCCAGAGACCCTCAGACCTCCTCTAGTCAGTTGCATTCAGGGCCACAGGGCTAAGTGACTACCCTAGAGCCTAGCTTGATGGACAGGGAACTTCCTATTGCAGGCTTGGACCCACTTGATGCCTGGAATAGTGGTATCTAAGGTGCTTTCCACCACATTATAAAGTTCTAGTTCCTTTTTATAATTAGTGAGCAAGCTATGAAGAGTTTTTTGTTTTTGCCAGTGATGGGGCTTGAACTCAAGGCCTAGTGCTTTACCACTTAGAGCCACAAGCTCCATTTCCTTTTTTCTTTTTTGGTGGTTAATTGGAGATAAGAGCTTCATGGACTTTTCTGCCCAGGCTGGCTTTGAACCGTGATCCTCAGATCTCAGCTTTCTGCATAGCTAGGATTACAGGTGTGAGCCACTGGGCCCCGACTCTCATCTTTTGTGTGTGTGCTGATACTGAGGCTTGAACTCAGGGCCTAGCCACTTTCCCTTAGCTTTTTTGCTCAAGGTTGGTGCTCTTCCACTCGAGCCGCAGTCCCACTTTTTGCTTTCTGGTAGTTCATTAGAGATAAGAGTCTCACAGACTTTCCATGCCCAGGCTGGCTCCATATCTTGATCCTCAGATCTGACTGAGCCTCCTAAGTGGCTAGGGTTGCAGGCATGAGCCACCCGAGCTCAGCCATCCTCATCATCTTTGAGCACTTTCTAGCTTTCTGGCACAAAAAGCTGTCTCAATTTCATTTTTTTTCCAGAGATCTTAGTTAACTTTAGTGGGGAAAGGAATTTAGAAGCCAGCCCTGGTTATTAAATGTAGTGGGCCCAGGTGTTTCCCTGTTGATTCTCCTGTCCATATTTGGTCCCAGTTTGTCCTAGGAAGATAGCTTGGCCCTGCTGGCCCTGGCTCCTCCTTCCTTCCCTGCCTGTTGTTTGGAGCTTTGAGAAGGTGCCAATACACCCTTTCTTGTCCTCACCACAAAGAGCCTTTGTTAGCAATGCCCTCCCAGAGCATTTCTAAGACTCTATTCATCTCAGTTCTCTCTGCTGGGATAGTCAGGAACAGCCTTGCAAAGAGCTTGTGTGCATCAGGGGGAAGAAGGCGTCCTCTGGTCACTGCTGAGTGACCTCAAGCCACCTTCGGGGTTAGAAGTGGTAAGTTCTTTCTGGGGAGCCAGGTCAGAGGGCTGCAAAACTCTGTGATAAATCCTGGCTTCATTCTGAGACTTCAGAAGTCTGAAAACTCAGAGTGGATTTCTCAAACCCCTTTGAGATTTCATTTTAGGTCAAGGAAAGATGTACATTGAATGGTGCCTAGGCTCCATTCTGAGTTTGCTCTATTTTTGCAAGGAGGGAAGACTTGAATCCAGCTCCCTTTTTTGGCTGAATCTCTGTTCCCTCTTGTCAGTTTGAATAATGGTCTACCTCCTGGTAATTCTGGAAGAGTTTTGAATCTGCATAGAAAACAGTAAGCCTATGGGCTGGGAATGTGGCTTAGTAATAGAGTGCTTGCTTAGCATGCACGAAACTCTACATTTGATTCCTCAGCACCACATAAACAGAAAAGGCCAGAAGTGGTGCTATGGCTCAAATGGTAGAGTCCATCCTTGAACAAAAAGCAGCTCAGGGACAGTGCTTAGGCCCCGAATTCAAGCCCCAGTACTGGCAAAAAAAAAAAAAGATAGGGAGGGAAAGAGGGAAGGATGAGAAGGATTGGGAAAGGAGGAAAATAGCCAGGTGCCAGTGGCTCATGCCTGTAATCCTAGCTATGCAGGAGGCTGAGATCTGAGGATCGCAGTTCAAAGCCAGCCAGAGCAGGAAACTGTGAGACTCTTATCCCCAATAAACCACTCAGAAAACCAGAAGTGGTGCTGTGGCTCAAGTGGTAGAGTGCTCACCTTGAACTGAAGAGCTGAGGGACAGCATCCAGGCCCAGATTTCAAGCCCCAGGACCCACAAAAAAAGAAAAGAGTAAGCCCAGAGCTCAGAATCTGAGTGAATGTCCATCTAAGTGTGTTATGTTCTCAAATTCTCTCTGGATGATTGACGGGTTTTTTTTGTGTGGCTTTATTATTATTACTAGTAGTAGTACCAGTGTTGGAACTCAGGCCTTGTGTCAGCTCAGCTTATTTGCTGAGCTGGCCCTCTACCACTTGAGCCATACCTTCAGCCTGGCTTTTTTACTAGTTATTTTTGGAGATGTAGTTGTGTGGACTTTTCTGCCCTGGCCAGTTTCAAACTGCGACCCTTCTGAACTCAGCCTCCTGAGTAGATGGGATTACAGGCGGGAGCCACCAGTACCCGGCTGAGGCTTATATTTTAAGAGCAGAGGCATGGCTATAACTTACGATCAAAGCAAAGCAAAGATTACTGGTGCCGGGGTGGGGTTTTCTGGATAGAATGTTGGCATGGCAACACTATCACCTAGGAATTCCAGCAGCCCATGTCTGAGCCCTAGCTCTGCTGCCAGCTTATTGAGGAACAGCTTTGTAGTCACTTGCTCCCCTAGCCCCCAGAGCACGTTGCTTCCAGTTTTGAAAACTGGCCCTGAGTAGGCACCTGCTGTACACTTATTTGCTCTGCTGGAGTGCAACTTCTTGGGGTGGTGGAGGAAATGCCCACCTCCTCTTCTGGTTCTAGTCCCCTTTAGCAGCCCCTGGGTGGGGCCTGCTTGTCAGTTAAAGGCCCTATACTAGGAGGATTTTACTTCTGTCCTCTTACCTCATGTTGATCCAGATTCATTTTCCAGAGCCTTCCTGAATCTCTTAATCTCTTTTTTTGCTTAAGGACTGAGGAAGCAGAGGGCATTTTGGATCCCCAGGAGTCAGAAAAGTTGAACTTTAATGAGAAATGTACTCGGAGTCCACTACTGACCCAGCTCTGGGCAACAGCTGTGCTTGGGTCCCTCTCAGGTAAGAAGCTGCCAGAGCCCCAGCCCAGCTGGAGTGACCCCACTTCTGTCTGTCTGTCTGCCTGCGGGCCTGTTTGTCAGGCTTTGCTAATTGGTTACCTTCGCACCAAGACTTCTGGGATGGTAGCTAGGTGGCGGGTGGTGCTGGTGGCAGGCTGCTCAGTGGGGTCAAGGCAGTAGATGGGGCTGAGCAGCTAGGCCAGGTTCCTCCCATTTCCACACCAGCATACTTTGTGCTGGGTCTAAGATGAATCTTATTACTAGAAATCACAGCCTCTTTATCTCCTGCTTTTTCTGCTGCTGCCTGTTATGACTTATTAGAAATCCTATATTTCTAATAATCTAATAATTTTAACTACTCAGGAGGCTGAGATCTGAGGATTGCTGTTCAAAGCTATCCTGATCAGGAATGTCTGTGAGACTGTTAGGTTCAGTTAACTAGCTGGAAGTGGATCTGTGGCTCACATGGTAGAGTGCTAGCCTTGAGCCAAAGAAGCTCAAGGACAGCAACCAGACCCTGAATCAAGCCCCAGAACCAGCACACGTACATAAAAGTGGAAAAACAAATTAAAAAGGTTGGGCTGGGCACTGGTGGTTCATGCCTATAATGCTACTCAGGAGGCGAAGATCAGAGGCAGCCTAGGCAGGAAAGTCTGTGATATTCTTATCTCCAATTAACTACCCCCAAACCAGAAGTGGAGCTGTGACTCAAAAGTGGTACAGCTCTAGCTTTGAACAGAAAAGCTCAGGGTCAGTGCCCAGGCCCTGAGTTCAAGCCCAGGACTGACAAACAACAACAACAAAAATCTGAATGCAGTAACTTATGCCTGTGATCCCTACTATATAGGAGGTAGAGATTAGGAGGACAGTGGTTTGAGACCAGCCTGGGAAAAACTTAATAGTGGATCTGGGTGCCAATGGCTCATATCTGTAGTCCTAGCTATTCAGGAGGCTGAGCTAAGAGAGGATGGTGGTTTGAAGCCAGCCTGGGGAAAACGTTTGAGAGACTATCTCCAATTAACCAAGAAAAAAGAGACTTTGCCTCTAAGCAACTGGAGGTACAGCTCAAGCAGTAGAGAAGTAGTAGAGAGCCAGCAGTGAGCAGAAAGCCAAGCAAGAGGATGAAGTCTTAAATTCAAGGAAAAAAATTAATAATGGGCTGGAGGCATGGCTCAGTGGAAGAGTACCTGCCTAGCACACACAGGAAGAAAAAAAAAAAGATTCCATCTGAACTAATAGCTGGGCATGCTGGTCACCCAGCTATGCAGGAGGCATAAGTAGGAAAATCATAGTCCAGATTGTTCTGAGCAAAAACTCAAAACCCATCCCTAAAATAACTAAAGCAAAAAGAGATGGGGGCGTGGCTCAACTGGTAGAGCACCTGCCTAGCAAGCACAAGATCCCTAGTTCAACCCAATGGTACATGAGGTACGTGGTACATGAGGGTATCTAGGCCAGGTATAAAGCTGCCTAGATTCACTTCACTCATTCACTGAACAGTTGACTGAGGCAGCCGGTGGGCGTGGCCCCACTGCATGCTGAGTCTCATGGGTCAACGTTATATAGCCTGAGGGTTCTCAGAGCAGATGTGGCTAGGCTAGATGGAAGGTGTCATGTTCCTAGGCTCGTCTGTACAGTTTGAGGAAGGGATAAGGTTTAGCTTGAATCTAAATGCTCCCTACATACTGGCCTTAAAATTGTAGTGCAGCTGCTTCTTGTCTAGACTAGATTCCAGTATCTGATGGTGCCTGGTTTCCTAGCAGTCCTTTTAGTTATCTGTTCAAAACCATGTATCTCATGTTTCCTAGCTCAAGGCCTCTCTCTCCAGGTCTGGAAATCATAGATAGGACTAGCATACAAGCAGGATGGCTTGGCTAGATATGGAAACATTTATCCTGCAACCAACTGTGTGTGGAACCTGGCCTTACTTCCTTCTCCTCTGCCTCCTCCCCTTCTCTTCTTCCTTCTTCTTCTTTTTTTTTTTTTTTTTTTTGTGGTACTGGGGTTTGAACTCAAGGTCTCATGCTTGTTAGGCAGGCATTCTACCACATGAGCTTTAGTTATTTTTAAATCTCTCTCTTTCGTTGTTGTTTTGTGGGGTTTTTTTTGTCAGTCATGGGGCTTGAACTCTGGGTTTGAGCGCTGTCCTTCAGCTCTTCAGCTCAAGGTGAGCGCTCTGCCACTTGAGCTACAGCCTCCACTTCTTGTTTTCTGAGTGGTTTATTGGAGATAAGAGCCTCACAGACTTTCCTGCCCAGGCTGGCTTTGAACCTCGATCCTCAGATCTCAGCCTCCTGAGTAGCTAGGATTACAGGTGTGAGCCACCAGTGCCCTGCTCAATATATTTTAAATTTTTCTTTTGTTTTGTCTGGTCCTAGAGCTTGAACTCAGGGCCTGGGCACTGTACCTGAGCTTCTTTTGCTCAAGGCTAGCACTCTACCACTCTGAGCCACAGCTCTACTTCCAGTTTTTTTCTGAGTAGTCTGTTGGAGATGAGTCTCACAGCTGGGGCTGGGAATGTGGCTTTGTGGTAGAATGCTTGCCTAGCATGCATGAAGACCTGGGTTTGATTCCTCATAAACAGAAAAAGCTGAAAGTGGCACTGTGGTTCAAGTGGTAAAGTGATGCCCAGGCCCTGAGTTCAAGGACCCCAGGATAAGAGGGGGGGGGGGGGGGGGGGGGGGGGGAGGGAGGGAGGGAGAGAAAGAGAAAGAGAAAGAGAGAGGTGATATTCAGAGGGGTTACTGTTTTATAAGTTAGGTAATGAGAATGGTTTCTTTTTGGATAGTGTCACCCCTTCCTTTGCTCTCTCCCAGATTTTCCCTCTTTATCTTTTTGAATAGAGTCTTATGCTTTTTATGTCTAGGCTGGCCTGAACCACAGTCCTTCTATTTATACTACCCATGTAGCTGGAATCATAGGCATATACCACCATAGCAGCCTTTTTTTTTTTTTTTTTTGGTTGGTCATGGGGCTTGAACTCTGGGCCTGGGCGCTGTCCCTCAGCTCTCCAGCTCAAGGCTAGCACTCTATCACTTGAGCCACAGTGCCACTTCTGGTTTTCTGAGCAGTTTGTTGGTGATAAAAATCTCACAGACTTTCCTGACCAGGCTGGCTTCGAACCACAATCCTCAGATCTCAGCCTCCTGAGTAGCTAGGATTACAGCTATGTTGCCCAGCTAGCTTTTATTGGTTGAGAAGAGGGGTCCCATGAACTTTTTGCTTGGGTCATTCCTGAGCCACAGTCCTCCCCATCTCAGCCTTCTAAACAGCCACTGTGCCTGGCTCCTGGACCTTGTTTCTATCAGAGTTTACAGATAAAAATCCTGGAGTAATAGTAACTACCATTTTTGTTACTTGTGCTTACTAGGAACTTATTTTATGCTAGAATTTTACATATATTTCACCTGATTCTCATAAACATTCTCTGATAAGTCCAATTGGGTCCTTACTTTACTGATGGGAAAACTGAGGCTCAAAGAGAATAAATGGCTCATGTGAGAACTGAGGTCTTACTTCAGTGGTGGGCAAGGAAACCCCTTCCTACCTAGTGGTACCAGATTAGGTCTTTAGATGTGAGCATGTGGACAACTCTTGGGAATTTTTTCTGGCAGGCATGGAGGATGTGCGTATCGATGAGAAGACTGTCAGCCCCTTATTACAACTGTCAGACGACCGAAGGACCGTGACCTTCAGTGCCAAGAAGCCTAAGGCCTGTGTGGATGGCCCAGAGCGCTTTGACCATTGGCCCAATGCCCTGGCAGCCACTTCTTTCCAGGAGGGGCTCCATGCCTGGGTGGTAAACGTCCAGAACAGTTGTGCCTATAAAGTGGGCGTGGCCTCGGGTCAGCTGCCCCGCAAGGGTTCTGGCAATGACTGCCGCCTGGGCCACAATGAGTTCTCATGGGTTTTCTCACGCTATGACCAAGAGTTCCGTTTCTTGCACAATGGGCAGCATGAGCCCCTGGGGCTGCTGCAGTGCCCAGCCCAGTTGGGTGTGCTGCTGGACCTCCAAGCAGGAGAACTGCTCTTCTATGAGCCGGCATCAGGGACCGTGTTATTCACCTTCCATACGTCCTTCCCTACACCCCTCTTCCCAGTCTTCGCTGTGGCCGACCAGACCATCTCCATCATCCACTGACCTCTGATCACGGGGCCAGCTTCACTTCCGCACCACCCTGGAAGATGAAATCACTTTTCTCCCTGGAGTCCTTTTTCCCAGTTGATGTATAGGGGGGCTTCTTAAGGGAAACGGCCCCTGCTTAGTGGGCAGCGTGGGAATCTGTCTTGGATCTGGCACACCCTTTAAATGTTGGGTGTCTGCAGGGAGTGGATGTCTCAGCATCAGTGTCTCCAGTCTACCATATGTGTGCCCTTGTGAGGGCCTCTTGTTCAACAGATTAGGTCTAGCTTCCAGCATATCGAGTGCCTGATGCAAAATGAGTGTGTAGTAATTATTTGGTGAGTGGATGGATGTGTGGATGGATGGACAGGTTACTGGATGAGGTATTTCCTGGAGAACCCCCAAGCTTTGGGTGGTGGAAATAATTTTCTACAAAGAAACCTGTGGCCAAAGCTTCTTTATCTTCCCCATCCTGTGCCTCTCCATCTTCTTCATGACATAGCCCATACAGAAGATATTTTTCTAGTGACAGAAGAGCAGCCTGAGAGTGCTGTATTCCCCCACCCCCGGGCCCAGCCCTGGAAACTGCCACCAGCCTGCCTGTGATAATGGAGTAAAATTCCCTGAACTATGGCTGATGGGTGTCCCACCTAAGGGTCTTCTTCCTTAAAGCAGAGCCTGGGCTGAGAGCTTCCAGACTGAGAAAGCTGAGGAGGAAAGAGGGCTGGCCCTAAGGACATGAACATTATTAAAGGTTTTCAAAGACTAAAAGATGTCTCCCTTGATCTCTGTGGGTGATTGCTTACATACTACATGCCCTAGTCTTCCGTACCCTTAGGCCTGTACTGAGGTGATGTCACTAGGGCCCAAGGGAAAATACGTCGCTTGTGTTCTCCACATGGATTTCAGCCAGCAATAATGATCATCAATTTATTTTTATTTTTTGGTTCATGGGGCTTGAACTCTGGGCCTGGGCATTCGCTGTTCCTGAGCTCTTCAGCTCAAGGCAAGCATTCTACTACTTGAGCCACAGCGCCACTTCCAGTTTTTTTCTGGTGGTTAATTGGAGGTAAGAGTCTCACAGACCTTCTTGCCTAGGCTGGCTTTGAACCACGATCCTCAGACCTTAGCCTCCTGAGTAGCTAAGATTATAGGGGTGAGCTGCTTGTGCCCAGCCCTCAAACTTTTGTCTAAAAACACTTTTTTTTGGTGGTGGTGGTGGGTACTTAGATTTGAACCCATGGTTTCATGCCAGCTAGTTAGGTACTCTACCACTTGAGCCGTACCTCCAGCCTTTTTTTGCTTCTTACTTTTCAGGTAGGGCTTTGCTTTTTTGCCTGGACTGACTTCAAACTAGGATCTTCCTGCTCTTGCCCTTCTGAGTAGTTGGGCTTACAGGTGTGAGCTACTGCACCTAGCCAGGAACAATCTTTAAAAGCAGGACTGGGGATATGACTTAATGATAGAGTGCATGTTTACCTGCTGAAGGCCCTGGATTGTTTGCAGAAAGCATTGCAAACAAAACCTTCACTGACTTTGTTTCTGGGTCCAGACCAATGTGATCAGAGCTTTCTCCACTTTGGGAGCCGCAGAGCTGTTTGAAAAATCACTGCTTCATTGGGGGAGATGACAAAAAGTAAGGCTGGCTGGTATCAGTGGGCAATAAACTGAAATAATCCAAGATTCCAGATAAGTGCTACTCTGCTAAGCTATTTGTAAAATGCTAAAATGTGGTACAGATTGGCTGGGAGAAGACACCTTTGAATAAAAGCTGAAAGAGCTCAATGTTTATGTGAAATCTTTTTTTCTTAGTTCTGGGGATGGATCTGGAACTTGCCCATACTAGACCAGTTCTCCTAGAATAGTTTTAGAGGAAATCTCCATAGTTTACTCCCAGCACTGGGCAGATCAACCCACAGGCCTTCTGCTCAACTCTTGATTGAGATGCTCTCTGAGGCCTTGCAATAGTGAGACCATAGTTCCTGACCTGTGTCCTCCCTGCCTGATTCTTGGGGAAATGACTGCTTAACTACCTGGCCTGGTGTCAGGTCCAATGAAGACAGACCTGGAGGCTTTGGTAAACCCAGAGTTTTCTGCTTCTGCCTGGACACAGCTCTTTTTTAGAAATCTGAGTCAAATCAGATACTGGTGGCTCATTCCTGTAATTCCAGCTACTCAGGAGGCTGAAATCTACGGATTAAAGTTTGAACTAGCTTTTTACTAGTTAGAGGCATGGCTTAAGTGGTAGAGCACCAGCCTTAAGTGAAGAAAGCCAAGCAAGAGCTCAAGGCCCTGAATTCAAGCCTGCAGTATTGGCACCAAAACAAAAACACCTTTGTCAAAGCCAATATCTACTTGGCATTTGCAGGTCATCGCATGTTCCTTCTACCAACCGAGCTCCCCAAAGAAGCTTCATAGCCTGCTTCAGACACTACCCCTCATCTTGTCCAAGTACCACCCCAACTCCAAGCCAGTTCAAGTACCAGAGCCCTCCCTGCTTTTGCTACCTGCTTTTGCTACACTCACCTGCCTATCACACTAGGCAAAGCACGGAGATGACCAGTGTAGACAAGGCAGGAAGAAAGGGAATTTTAACCAGGTGCTAATGGCTCATGCCTATAATCCCAGCTACTTAGGAGGTTGTGATCTGAGGATGGTAGTTTGAAGTCAACCTGGTCAGGAAAGCCCATGAGCCTTATCTCCAATAAATTACAAAACAAAACAAAACACCAGAAGTACACTGTGGCTCAAGTGGTAAAGTGCTAATGAGCAAAAGAAGCTCAGGGACCGTTCCCAGGCCCAGAGTTCAAACCCCAGGACAGGACAGGGAATTTTTAAATGTCCTATGGTTCCCCTCTCATCCCTGAAACCAGCAGTGGCTCCCTGAGGTGTCTTACCCTGTGCTGAACCTATAGGTCTAATCAGGTACCCCATAAAATTGACACTGCTCTAGATAGCTCTCCTCCTCTCCCTGGATCAACAACACTTCACTGTCTCCTGTGATATGGCTCCTACCTGTTTGTAACCTAATGGCCAAACTCAGTGGTGCCACCTTACTTATTCCCACATCTAGTTCATTTGTGGTGAGGGTCTACCACTTGTGCCCACTATAAAATTTGGAGAGCTGTATATACAGATGAAGAACTGAGATGTAAGGACAGATGTAAGTTAGCAGTGTTCCTTGTGTGCCTGTGTGCACATGCTCAGATACTGGGAATTGATCCCAAGCCAACTCTCAGTTGGCTTTAATTCCCACTGAGGATGGCACTCTACCACTTCTGACCTTTTGCTCATTAATTGGAAATGAGTGTTTCAGATTTGTCTGCCTGGGATGGATTTAAATAGGGATCCTCAGGTTTCAGCTTCCTGTGTAGCTAGGTTTATAGACAGGAGCTACTGGCATGTCTTATAATTATGACATTATATCTTATAATTATGACATTCTTTGTTTTCAATCCGTTCTCCAAACTATGAGTGTTAGTGGACAGTGTCCCTACAGCATAGCACACCACTCTGACTTTCAAACTAATCTGACCTTAGGATTCCAAGGGCGGGAATGGGGGAGGTCTCTGGGGCATAATGAGAAGTCTTAGAACTTCTGCTCAGCTTTTTTTTTTTTTAATTTGTTTTGCATTAGTGACTTTCAGATCTCTAGTTGCAAAAGGACCTCACAAACTGAAGTTTGAAAGTACCTGGTGTAAGCCAGGCACTGGTGGCTCACACCTATAATCCTAGCTACTCAGGAGGTAGAGATCTGAGGATCGAGGTTCAAAGCCAGCCCAGGAAAGAAAGTCCGTGAGACTTTTATTCCAATTACCCACCAAAAAACCGGAAGTGGCGCTGTGGATCAAGTGGTAGAGAGCTAGCCTTGAGTTGAAGGGCTCAGGGACAGTGCCCAGGCCCAGCGCTCAAGCCCCATGACCGAAACATACCAAAAAAGCAAGGCCTCATCTCAAAAACAAGTTGTAGCTGGGTGCCAGTGGCTCACGCCTATAATCCTAGCTTCTCAGGAGACTGAGATCTGAGGATCACAGTTCAAAGCCAGCCTGAGCAGGAAAGCTGTGAGACATCTCTAATAAGCCACCAGAAAACCAGAAGTGGCACACTGTGGCTCAAAGTGGTAGAGCACTACCCTTGAGTAAAAAAGCTCAAGGGACAGTGCCCAGGCCCTGAGTTTAAGTCCCACAACCAAAAATAAATAAAAAGTTGCATGTGGTACATGTCTACAATCCCATCTACTTGGGGATGGAAGTCCAAGGCCAACTGGCAAAAGTACAGGGTGGTTGGGGGGGGGAAGGGATGGGGGTTGAGGGAGGAATTACTGAGGGCATGGATCCAATGGTAGAGTATTTACCTAGTGAGCTAAGACTCTGAATTCAATCTTTAGTATCACCACACAGAGCAAGCGAGCGAGCGAGCGAGAGGGGGGGGGGAGATGAATGAGGGCTCTGAGACCAGGAGCTGGTTAATAGGACAAGGCTAAAGCCCAGTTTTATGGTCAAAATAGATGATGGAGGCTGCAGAAGGAAGATCCCAGTCCAGAGCTGAGGAAAAGGAGGGGCTCCCTGCCTCAACTGTTCATTGACACACACCCTCCAGGCGGCCAAGGGCAGGTAGGAGATGGGACAGTGAGGGAAGAAGATGTTCTTCAGGCACAGAATTCCTGATCACAGGGTCTAGAGGTGCTGGACCAGCTATCAGGAAGCTGTGCATGCCTGCAGCCCGAGCCCCCTGGTAATCACAGTGGTAATTGTCCCCAATATGGGCTGCCACTGTGGGTTCCATTTGAGCAAGCCGCAAAGCTTCATGGAAAATGCGGGGGTCTGGTTTGGGCCATCCAGTAGCCTCAGAAGTCAACACAAAGTCAAAGTGTTCCCGCAGGCCAAGGCCCACCAGGATATCCTCAAGCCGTCTATCAAAGTTGGAGACCACTGCTAGCTTCAGACCTCGCTTGCGGCACCCCTTCAGGGTGGTCTCAGCTCCCTCCAACACCTGCCAGGTGCTGGGGCTGCTGAAGTCTTCATACAGTTGTGCGGCAATGGGGGCCACAGCCTGGGCATCCTGCACCCCTGCCAGGTGGAAGGTCTGTAGGACCACATCCAGCCACCATTGGCGGGAGGTGAGGCCCTGGCTCAGACCATAGTTGGGGAGGTTGTGACTCTGAGCCTTGTATGCCTGTCCAAAGGCTCGTCCCAGGGCTGTGGGCTCCACCGCCAGGCCATGGGCCCGGGCTTTGGTGGCATACTCCTCCCCCACAGGGCGGCGGAGCCGGACCAGTGTGTCCTTCACATCCCACGTCAGTAGGCGAATCTGCAGCCGGTGTGCCATGGAAGAGGCCAAGTCCGCCTCAGGTCCCTCTCAGTTCAAGGAGATGCTGGGCTGGATAAGTCCTCCCCTCTACAAGGCCTTGTTGGCCACAAGATCTTCACAATCTTCTCTTTCCTGGAAGGAGAAACAGCAGGTGAGGAGGATGCTGAGGTCCTTAGGTCCCAGAGACGGGGTTCAAACCCTAGTACTGTCAAATGCAGAATCTTCTGAAGTCATTTTGTGAACTGTCTCATGTGTAACAGTAGCACAATGATACTGACCTCATATGACTATGGCTTAAATGTGATCGTACATCCCACAGCAAATAAGGAGCTAGATGCTGGGGAACAAGACACATTTCCAGCTCTCCTGGCATTTATAGACATTAAAGAATACAGGAGATAGATATTAGAGGAAGAACTATACACCATTAGTTTGTGAAGTCAGTATGTATCAGGAAGATATAAAATCCAGGGACCCAGTCTGATCTTGGAAATCAAATAGAGATCTGAAGAACAAACAGGGGCAAGTTGTAGAAGAGGTTAACTTGGTTCTGGCAGTGAAAAGACTAAGTGCAAAGGTCCTTTGGGCAAA